GGGATATGACCAGGATATTGAAAGGTGGAATCCTGATATAACGCGCCAAAGAAATCTTCAAGGCATTTTGATTCCTGCTCTGGCATGAGTGGTTGACCATGTGCATCATACATTTGGATCTTCTGAGATCTTTGTTTGGGACACAATTTGTGGACCTTGCGGTACCAATCGTATATCTGATGGCGTAGGGCCAAATCTGCACCGTCTCGGAGGAAATCTTCAAATTTTTGCTTCTTGTTCTGACGACAGAACTGTCGAATTTGTTTGTGAAGTCGTCGAAACTGGACTAGGTTTTTCTAGGCCAAGACGATGGAAGGCAACGATCGATTAATCAGGTCCAGAAAGGTCATTTGAGGATAAATCGTGGCAATGGAGATGTTTTTGGGAAACCAAATCTTGCAAAGGGTAGTGAGTTGGGTTTCTACCTCTAGGAACGGAATGGGACAGACATGTTGGACACAATGCAAGAACTCACGGGCCTCCCAGCTAAACCTTGCCATTTGAGAGTGTTCTGCATCATTTCCTGGTGGATTCGATGTCTATCAAGCAGAATAATGGGTTTGGGTTTCGGATTGAGATATCATTTCGGGACTGACCAACACAGTGGATGATGATGTGGGCCAATTATACCGAAATTCAATGGAAAATTATATATCATTTGTGGTTCCATTAGTGGCCAATTGATTTGGCAACGGCGCATCAAAGCAAAATCGATATGGGAGGCATGTTGATCATGCCGGAAGGTGGTTTGAAACCTGTCACGACAATGCAATGTTGTCAAACCAAAATCCTGGACCAATTGTATGAGGATATACTTATCCTTTTGAACTGCTTGATGGTATTTAGGATCAATGGTGTGCACATGATGTGGTATGTGATTTAAAGGGGTATTGAAGTCACCACACACAACTAGATGGTGTCATTGTGGCAATTGCGCAAGACAATTCTGCAGGTGTGTCCATATACTCTTACGTTTGGTAAGGATCTGTCGAATCCCATGTTGAGTGGACCAGGCCTGTTGATAGATTATCACATAGTCCTGTGGTCTGGCGAGGTTCAATCGTACCTGCATCAGTGGCCGGGAATGTGATGAGCTATCGAGAGCTGGTCCTGACGAATGAGTGTGCAGAGCGCACCATGAACAGGATAGATACAAGACGGTCTGTTGAGTGTACGATGTGCCAATGTGCATTGGTCCATTCATTGGTCATCGACCATCCGGATTCCTGAATAGCGATGGTGTCATATGGGTTTTGATCACACCAATGAACCCAGGAGTGATATTCAAGTGCTCTAGATGTATCCCATTGTGGGATACGAAGATGGCCTGGAATTTTGGGAACAACCGCAGGGATATTAAACTTAGATCGATTAGGAGGTTGTTTAGCCAATATCATCTGTTTGATACGAAAGGGGACCTGATGTGGATAAATGGATCGATTTTTGAATATTTTGAATATGGACATGCCCTCCTTCATGGCTCGAACACAGGCTCGAGCGTACGAGCGCTTCAACCGATTGCAACGTAAGCGTGATTCAACAAGGCCTAAGCCCGACGACGCCCATGCCTCATGGCATTTTGCAGGAGGGCCTGATAGAGCTGGATCAGAGCTGCTCTCCCACCCATCCCTGAGGCCGGATGGGTAACCCTCGCGCCGAATCCTCGGGAATCTAGTGCAAAGATGTGAAAATCTTGAGGATCCTCCGGACTTGGGACCGGACCTCTCAGGAGAACAAGAAAAAGCGCAAACAGTGGCCAAAATGGCAGCATGTGGATGGCAGGTTCGAATGATCAAGATCAATAGTTCAAGAATGAACAAATATTGCACCGCCCCACGGGTCCCAATAGCGCGCTAGTCTTGATCTGAGATGGCGCGTGAATCTTGTTTATATATATATATATTTCCATATTGCCGAAAATAATCATTTTCAGATTATTTTTTATGATATAATGTATGTATCCTAAGGGCTTTATATTTTTTATGATATTATGAATTGATCTAAAAATTGATGGTGATGATATATAACTATATTAAAATATGTAAATTGTATTTAATATGATGCATTTTTGACAAATATATCTTTTATAAATTATAAATAATTATTCTTTTTCGTATTTTGGGACATAGATAAATAGATTGAATTGTTGAATTATATTAAAGAATATTGGAAAATAGGATTTGCCGAATATTTGTCTTAGTTTCGGCAATATCGAAAAGATTCTATTTTTAATTGATTTATTTAAGAAATAATGGGATTTGAAATATTGAAATAGTCGATTTATTTAGGAGATTAGTTAATTTATATTGATAATCAATATATATATGTTTAATGAATTAAAATATATTTATATTTCCTCATAGAATATAAAGATAATTTTTGTTAAAATTGAAATATGGATAACGACAAAGAAGAATATGAAATAATACCAAACATCAAAGGATATTTATTCAATTATAGTTTCTTGCAATGATTAATTTGAGAAGAGAAAAATAATAATGGATAACAAGCAACAAACAACAATTGGGAAACAAAAAGTAACGAACAGCCCGCAGCTAGCTACAAACAACAAAAAATACAATAAATAACATACAATAAATATCATGTAGCAAACAACA